GTCCGGTCTAATTGGGCGACGTTCAGATGAATGGAGACGAGAGGAATTGTTCGAAACACGGTAGATCTTCGATTATTCATATTTATTTTTTATTAGTCCAGACCAAAGTGGTTCAAACGATCAAATACTTAAGAACGCAGTTCGGATAATAGAATGTTGCAAATGAGAACGTATCACTGGTTTAAATAATCGAAAGTTTCATCGAACAGAACAGTAGAGCATCGATTATTCATATTAACTTGAACTTCGTTTAGATAATCAATATATCGTTTAGATAATCAATAGTATCTCCGATTATCTGAACTAATCTAGACCAAAGTGGTTCAAACGATCAAATACTTAAGAACGTAGTTCGGATAATAGAATGTTGCAAATGAGAACATATCACTGGTTTAAATAATCGAAAGTTTGATCATCGAACAGTACAGTAGATCTTCGGTTATCCGAACTAAGACTAAAATAATCAAGTAGATAATTCGAATAATCGAACACTGGAATAAACGAGAAGCGATGTGCCACTGAAGCACGTATTCGAGAGTTCGGTTAATCGAGGTCTCACTGTATGCATGTACAAGCTCGTCAATTCGAATAGCGAAAAAGTGTTTCATCGTTCGTGCAAAATTGGTCATAACGAGCGACGATTGAAAATTATCGCTCTAAAACAGAGGAGAGCTCCGTCTAATTTTTTCCCTTCTCTGTCGCGTCTCCATCTCTGTTAGCGCGGATTCAGATCGGTGTGAATGCAGCTCGTTTCGCGATAAGGGCAACGTGTTCCAGATATCGCCAGAACGACGGAACCGCGGCGCGAGCGAACGGGGACTCCCCGGAACACCGCTGTTGCTTTTTTATCTCGGCGAACCAGTGAATCGTCGAGTTTCGGGAGGAGTTCCTTTAAATTTCGATCAGCGGGACGACGGCTGTTCGTCGACGTCGACGCTTTCACGGCGGTTTTGGACGATTCCGCGCGATGGAACGGACGAGGAGGTGGCGCGATCGGTGACACGAGTGACGGGGTACACTTGGAGGCAACAATGTGCAGTTGTAGATCTGGTGGTGCCACGGCCTGGAAGGTTATGGTGAATTCAAGCTTTCGTCGACGTTTCATCGCTGCAGTTGGCTTTACCAGGGGCCAAAAACATTGATACTGATACATTGATCGTCAATAGTTTTTAATTGCTCAGCAATTAAACGATTGGCGATAAGAATGATCGGCGTGGAAAGTTGTTTTAGTATTTAAACAATAGAAACTGATACTCTATCCTGTTGATGTTGAATGTTTAATGAAGTCAGTTGCAATGATGGCGAAACGTTAGCATAACTGTCTTACACAGCTTGCATCAGAAAGATTCAATTCACCATAATGTGCAGATGCCTACACGGAGATTGCTTTTTCCACTGTGATTGGTCTATTGGCTCCCCCACTAGCTTTGCTCCTCCCATTGCCGTGCAGTGGCTCTCACGCTCGGTGTTTCCGGGCGCTACCGTGTTTGCCGTCACGAGAGAGCTACTGTGTCGCGCCTAGAGGGTGCTTTCTCGTGGAATTTGCTCTAGGTGAGATCCAGCGAGATTATATATAGAATTCGAAGGCCTACTTTCGTCAGTTAGGTAGGGTCTTCGGTGTATGCAGGGGCGGATGCAAGTTTCTTGGAATATGTTTCAAATAGATTAGGAACAATATCGTGTACAGAGATTTCGGAGATGAATATTCTTTAAATCATTGATATTTTCCAAGCTGGAGTCGCTTTTGTTCGTTGGATCAATAACCTTTTGTACAGTCAAGTAGACTCATACTTAAACGATTATTACAAGATACCAAAGTTACGTTAACATCTGAATGGGATAAACCTTCCATTGTGACTTGCCAATCGTCAACGTCCACTCGATTATCCATTGATATCAACGCACAGCAAGAAACAATTCAAAGTGTCATTTAACGGGAACTTCTCTGGCAGCGAACGTCACCGACAGAATCAGCGTCCGAGCATTAAATTCTACCTTCAATCGTTCCCATTCTACGCGGAGAACAATGAAGAACAGATCGACGCTTCACAGCAGACGCCTATAAACGTCGATCGACGTTGACAAATCGCAACGAACGTCCCACTATTCCAATGGTAACGTAACGTCGACGTATCCGGGTACACTTGACCCGTAGCAAGTTGTTCAACTGCCCACAAGCTAAAAAGTCACAAGTGCAAGAATGGATTCCTCCATTCAGATGCTTTATTGAGCAACTGTAGTTACTGTGGTTTTCTCGTAAGAAAACTTATACATAAGATTCAGCTATAAAACTGTCCAGGTATCGAATTTATGCATTCAGGAAACTCAACTTTTTCAGGAAAACCAAGGATCTACAAGATCTCAAATCTCAAGACAACGATCCCATACATAATTGCATCTCCCCAGCTTTTCCAAACCCTTTCCCCACTTCTTTAACCCTTTGCGAAAAGCAAAGACATTATTGCGTATGAAGCTAAATTATATACCAATTACTTAATTAATAAAGAAAGAAAACTACGTGCTGATCTTTTAGTCTTCGACTAATTAGATCATTTAGACTTAGTCTTCCAAATCTGAACATTCCATCTCACCGAAATGCAGTCCGTCCGCAAAGGGTTAAGTTTAGGTCTAAAGACTGAAGGATAAACTACTAGTTTTTCAAAGCGAGAGATACGAACACAACTCTCCATTAATAAGATCGTATATTGTACATTGAATTTTATCCAAGAAACTACAGTCCAGCCAATGCTTCGAATTCTTTTCTTTCTGAAAACGATTTTCTAAAGCCACCTCGACACAAACAGTTGCAATTATTGCAAAATGTTGCAATTATCACTGTAGTATATTTCAGTAACATACTACATATAGTTCACTGTACTATATTTCCTGGAAGCCGATACTCCTTGCCGTGCACTTTCAGCTCGCTAGTAGTCGGACAACTTACGGGCAGTAAATTATACTACGGGTTTGCATTTCGTCACCACCAAGTGTACGCGTGCGTGGGCGGTGCTGGTGATCGCGGCGACACGCGTGCCAGGAGTCTCGGGGCCGTGTGTGTCTGTATATATACCTCTGGACGTGTGTTGTTCGTGTTTGAACGTGGCTCTGTCCGCGACCGGAAGCGTCGCAATGGGGAAACGCAAGAACTGGAAGGATCACCGACGTTCAGCGGGGTCTGTCGGGGCGGGGGGAGGCTTGGCTGTAGGTTTTGCTTCTCGTGCGGTCGAGAGGGGAAAGCGGAGCTACGCTCGCGATCACGATAACTGCGATCTAATCCGGTTCGAGGCTGCCGCCTCGGCCATACCGTACCTTGCACGTGTGTTCCGTGTTTTGTCGCTTTCTCGGGGAGGGAGTAGAGTAGAATGGCTCCGGTGTAACGTAATGCTCGTGCGAGATTCGTGCGTTCTCGGGTTGGGAACGGTCGTGGACATCCTTAAGGTTTTGTGTTCTTGTGATCTTTCTTTTAGAATTTTCTGTCTGAAGGATTTAGCGACGGGGAGACTATATCACCGGTTCGTTAAATTTTACAAATTTGAGAACTCGTCGAATCTACGATTTTCAAATTTCCAGATTTCTGCATTTCCGAATGTTCATATCACTAAATTTCCAAGTTTCCAGATATCTAGATTCTCGAATTTCCAAGTCTCCAGATATTTAGATTCTTGAATTTTCAAGTCTCCAGATAATTAGATCCTTGAATTTCCAAGTCTCCAAATCTCCAGATCCTTAAATTTCCAAGTCTCCGAATCTCTAGATTCTCGAATTTCCAAGTCTCCAAATCTCTAGATCCTTGAATTTCCAAGCTTCCAAATCTCTAGATTCTCGAATTTCCAAGTCTCCAGATATCTAGATTCTCGAATTTCCAAGTCTCTAAATCTTTAAATCCTCGAATTTCCAAGTCTCCAAATCTCCAGATCCTTGAATTTCCAAGTCTCCAAATCTCTAGATTCTCGAATTTCCAAGCTTCCAAATCTCTAGATTCTCGAATTTCCAAGTCTCCAAATCTCTAGATTCTCGAATGTCCAAGTCTCCAAATCTCTAGATCCTCGAATTCCCAAATTTCCAAGTCCTCAAATATTCAAGTCTCCAAAACTAACTTCCCGAATCTCCAAATCTCCAAGTCTCCGAGTCCCAGAATCTCGAAACATCGAAATCTCGACATCTCGACATTTCCAAATCCCGAAATTTCCGAATTCCTCAAATCCCCCGAATTCTCCCAATTCGCAAGAACTGAACTGCAAGGAGGACCGCGTCCGCCTCCCAACCTCAGGAAGAGAAGCGTCGCCCGAGAGTACGATCTCTCGCATCCCCGGGCGACGATTCGTTGTCCCTTTCTCCGGTCGCGCAACATGGCGTCGGATGATCACGGATACGGCATGATTACCGAAAGGGGGTGGACGATCGGGGTTAGGTTGTAGGTCGGCTGGCGAGCGGGGCAGGGCGGGCTGGCGGGCTGAGAAGCGTGAAAATGGCACGCGCGTACACAACAGACTGAAAAAGCCGCTGGCAGCGCAACGTACTCTCTACTTGATCTGCAGGCAATCAACCACTACTACGTAATTAAAACACAACCAGTGGGCAGCGAGTTCGAGAAAAGAATCGTTGACGTGTCCCCTAACACACGCTGAGGCGCGCGAATTTCACGTACGTGCGTACGCGCGTCCTCGTCGCGCGCTCGCGTTCCGACGGACGCGCGTACACCGTCCATTCAATAATTTCTTTTTTTTTCTGTTTTCTTCAATCGATGAACGATTCAAATTTTCGACATGATATGTATATATATATGTACACTGATGAGCGTGACTAAACCGTCGATATAAGTGATCGTGATATACATATATAGAAGAAAGAATGATAATAATAATAATAAGAAGAATAAGAAGAAGAAGAAGAAGAAGAAGAAGAATAATAATAAGAATAGTAGTAATAGTGATAATAATAATAATAATAATAATTTATGAATATGAATATGCCGACATGGGTAGAAATAGCTTAAGGACCTGCTTCTGGGCCATCGATTGCATCTGCTGGAACATGATCCTTTCCTCCTCTTTTCCTGGAACAGCAGAAAGCAACGAGAAGCTCTTGGGGGGTCTGCTTGGTGTCCAGAGTTTCGGACGGTCTCTGTCTGCGTTTCACGATTTTAACAATTAATTTTATTTCTCGTCATTTGATCCCATTTTCAGTTCGTGTGATAATGGGGCGACGGGTGGGGGGCCAACTGGAATCGGAGAGATTAGAGGACAATGGATACGACGGGAGTATAAAGAGGGGTCAGGGGAAGAAGAGATAGGAGGCGTGACGATGATGGAAGCTTTTTGCTCGATATGAGATCACGGATGCTATGCGATGGCAGAGAAGATGGCGAGGGCGATGGGGTGCGGGAGTCAATGGGGGTCCACCGTGGTTGCAGCGGCTTCCTCGAGTAACACAAAAATCACAACCCTCGCGCGACCAGGTGAAACGTTGCACGGTTTCAGACTTTAACCCTTAGCACTCCAGGTGGTTTTGTAACCAATCAGCAACTGCTACTAATTTTTATAGTATTCCTAGCGAAAATTAGAAATGCAACATTTCTTCGATCTTTTATTTTTCTTAGTACAAAATTTGGATGTGGAAAATTGAATAATTTTAGGGTAGTTTCTTTGATTCATTAAAATGGTTAATATTAGAACTGGTAATATTGGAGCCTACAGAGTTCAAAGGGTTAACGAATAGAAATCTCACTGAATTTTTCCACGTCGAAACGAAACATGCATCTATCATCAAACGTTAGAGCAAAATTGACGCGTAATTCTGTAAACGGAATCACCATGGAATTCCTTTCTTTTCCCAATGAATGATTCTATAGAATTCTATCGAAAGAACTCCAGGCGCGAGAGGTTAATTTCCCTTTTCTCAAAATAATTTTAGAAATAATTAAAATTAAAGAATAATATGTGGAAAATCGAATAATTTCAGGGTAGTTTCTTTAAATATTATAACTGGTGCAATATTGGAGCCTACAGAGTTCAAAGGGTTAACGAATAGAAATCTCATTGAATTTTTCCACGTCGAAACGAAACATTACGCACCTATTTATTCTATAATTTTAGAATGTCATAAACACTCCTTATTACTCCAAGTATTCCTATTCCTTGAAACAATCAAAATCTAATTGAATAGTGCAGCGGGGTAAAAGTTTACCATTACATCTCTACGACTAAGTGCCCGGCGTTTTATTCCGAATAACACGGGACCAATTAACCGTGTTACTCGAGGGTCGACTGTATTCTGATATATTCCCGTTGAACTGTCGTCGTGCATCCCCTTCGTGTCACGAGCACGTCGGACACAACTGTCGGGAAGAAGTTCGAGCGTGATAATCCCGTTACCGTGTCCCTCGAACGTTAGACACTTTTTTCCCGCATTGTTATTTTCGTTTGCCTGCAACGGGGTCGGAACAACTTCACGTCTGAGGAGCTCTACGCGCTCCCGTATTTGTTTCCTCGTATTTATTATAATCAATCAACGATTTATTTCGGTATCGGTCGCGCGTCGATGGTTTTCAGGGCTACACGTCCACGGGCGTTTCCGGCGAGCGTCGAGCGGTCCGCTCTCGTCGTTCCCATTTTTTGTCCACGATCGTTAACACTCGCGGAACGCGACACAATCGATGTACACGAAATCTCGTTCTCTCTTCCGGCGTACGAAGCGTTTTTTCTCTGTTTTCTTTTATCGTTTAGCAGATTTTCGCAGGTATCGCGGAGTTAGAAACGTTCCGTTACTCGAATTCCGGGGCGTTAAAGCGGTTTCGAGGCTTTCGGTCGAGGCGTAGGGTTCGTTACTGTCGAGTTCTTTGGGAATCAGTTCTTTCGTCCTTCTTTCGGACGCACACGGCCGGTGAATGTGGCTAATCGTTCGCCCGTGGCTTCGTTGGCGAACGAAGTGCGCCGGGCTAAACGATTTCTCGTTTTGCATCGAATGATGGGCTGATTCGCTTGCCAACCGGTGTTTAGATTGTTCATCCACTTGGATTGAAAAGGAATGAAATTACAATGAAAAGAATTGCATTGAAGTATTCGTGAATATTAAAATTGGATTGTTCATCCACTCGGATTGAAAAGGAATGAAATTACATTGAAAATTGCACTGAAGTATTCGTGAATATTCACTTCTTCAAGCTAATCAAAAAATGTTCGTTTCTGTAGACTTGTTTCTATCTCTAATCAAATTACAGCAAATAGCACAATTTAATCTTCTTCTCTTTCAGATACGAAATCATTTCCGGCGGTCGACAAGCGAATCCTGGATTCTAGGGACTGATCGGTTAAGACTCTGTCGAATAGCGGTGCTAATGATGTCAAGGTATCTGTTGCTATTGCACTAGGCTTCGCACAGAGGTCGGTAATCGTAGAATGATGCGCAGCTTGGCAGAGAATCGGTAAAGGACGAATGCTCTTTTGGTCCTTTCTCGCTAAAAAGGTGAATGTATCAGCGAATGAGACCGCGAGAGGGAAGCCGAAGCGAATCGATGGAAGAATAGAGTTTCGTGCGCATCGATCGGACACGGATTCGCCTCAGCTTCCTTTCGCGTTGAGATCGTTGCGCGCGATCGTCACCGGAACGACGCGTCTCACAACGGAATGACAGCGTGTGCGTGGGGAGAAGAAATTCGAAAGGAATGCCTCACCCATCCCCTTGTTTTGGAGCATCTCGAGGAGCTTCTTGATGCTTTCATCCCGAGCCTGCAGCGTCTGTTTTTGCGTCTCTATTCTCAATTCCAGCTCCTGCAACAGAAAGAAGAAGCGCAACGGCGCTCTGAGTAATATCCCCCATGCGGAACAGCCTCCGCGGCCTCGTTGATTAAACCCGCCGGAATTTATCGCGACCGCGGACACGCGAAAAAACGATGTCGCGTTTCCGTGCCGCGCGGTTACGGGACCTGCACGGAAGCACCGGGTGTCGAGGCTGAATCGATTCAAACGAAATCGGAATTAACACTGGGATCATGGGTATTTATTAGTTTGTTCTATTTTTTCTGGGGATATTAATAGTTAACACGTCTCTCAATTAATCGGCTTTTTAGTTAATCTACTTCTAATTCAACGCTGAGTTTATGAACGTTTATTGTATGTATATTCTATTGTTTCTAGGAATATCGGTGTTCGCTGATATAGATTTCGGAAATTGAAGGTTTGAGGATTAGGACACATGCTCGTGTAATTGCATTAACCAGAATTCACGTAAATGTTTACTGAACACTGGGATTATGGGTCTTTATCTTATAGTTTGTTCTACTTTTCCTAGGAATATCAGTTGTTAATATGTCTCTCAATTAATCGGCTTTTCAGTTAATCTACTTCTAATTCAACACTGAGTTTATGAACGTTTATTGTATGTATATTCTATTGTTCCTAGGAATATCGGTGTTCGCTGATGTAGACCTTGGAAATTGAAGGTTTGAGGATTAGGACACATGCTCGTGTAATTGTATTAACTAGAATTCACGTAAATGTTTACTGAATAATTATAATATTCAATGTGTGTTCAATCGACGTGTTCTGTGAACCCAGTGTTAAGGAGTTAATGAAGCACCAGGCATCGAGGCTGAATCGATTCAAACGAAATCGGAATTAACACTAGGATTATGAGTATTTATTAGTTTGTTCTACTTTTCCTAGGGATATCAATTGTTAATATGTGTCTCAATTAATGGGCTTTTTTCCTTTGGTTATTCTACTTCTGATTTAATGCTAGGTTTATAAACGTTTATTGTATGTATGTTCTATTGTTCCTAGGAATATCGGTGTTCCTGATGATCTTGGAAATTTAAGGTTTGAGGATTAGAACACAAACTCGTGTAATTGTATTAACCAGAATTCATTTAAATGTTTACCGAATGATTATAATATTCAATGTGCGTTCAATTGACGTGTTGTAAACCTAGCGTTACGGGGTTGTGCTGTAACTTAGAAAATTGAAAAGTTTCAAATACGTTAGTTAAATATGTTAGTCTTTCGTTATAACTCTATTATACTAGTAATATTACAGAACGCTGTGTAATTTGAAAAGACGTCAGATTGCGAAATAAGAAGAAACTTCTTCGTTCCGCGGTAAAAAGTAGAATTGCCTCGTATAAACGTCATTCACGGCTGCGATAACTTCGTTACTTGCCGTTCCCGTGAAATGTTTCCGTGGAAAAATTGAAAGACCGATAGCGGCGAAAGTGGGAAGACTGCGAATCGAGAGATGCACGCGGAAAGTATATCGACCGGGTAAACGAGGAAGGCGCACGGTTTTCCAGCGACGGTGTCGGTTGGAAAAGGAAACGAGGGATGGCCAGCGGGTGTCTAATTCCAGACTAATTACGTTGCCGTCGTCAAAGGGGCGGTCTAAATTCGTTACACGGGCGTCAAGCTCCCGGCACTATTCACCGGTGATGCGACACGAATCGAGCATTTTCCGGGAAGACAACTCGTGCTCCATTTCCTTTCTTCTCTATTCGTACGACCCAATCGAAAATAGTCTTGCCACGGTTTCATTCGTTGGAAAATATAGTATCGAAGAGGACAGATATTTTAATTCAATTTTCCTAGCGTGCCATTCTTGATTCTACCGAGGAACACAGAAACATATAGATAACAAGGTTAGTCAGTTTTTAAACGTATAATAATAAGCTGAAGATTGAAAGCGTAGGCTCGATGAAAAATTATGGAAAATGAGATGAAGAGAATGAAAAGAGTGCAAGAAGATCAGCTAGCAGCAAGCGTAACGATTAATGCCACATTCAACTCGTTGCAATACGATATCAACCTCGCGACAGACATTTCAAGTAGAATAGAATTGAGAAATGTAAATGTTAATTCTGTCAACTCCAAACGAAATTTGATTGTTTTGTTATCGATCAAACTGCGGAGTAGACGCGGATATAGGATCAGGGAATTCTTTCCTTTTTCTAACGAATTGAACAATCCCATTGTTCTGCGCAGTTAACACACTGAATTTCAGCTAAAATGCGAGCATCGCTGATTATATTGACACATGTTGACACAACTACTGAGCATTTAATATGATTGATATGTAATCTATAAAAATTGTAACAATAGATTATTTTCAGTTTCTTTGGATGTCCATCATAGTACTCAAGTGAAACTATTTATTTCTAGAATCATTTCAAATATTCAATGCTTCAAAGATATCAATAATTGCTAAACAAAAAAATCGAAACCAGTCATTTTGACTGCTACGTAGTTCTAGTGTTAGGAAACATTCGGAAAACATAGCATAGTTAGTGATTGAAATAGTGAAATATTTAGAATGCATCGAATTTCCTTTAACACTAGAACTACCGAGCATTTAATACAATTAATATGCAATTCCCATAAAAATTGTAACAATAGATTATTCTAAGTTTCTTCAGACATTCATTATAGTACTGAAATGGAACTATTTTCAAAATCATTTCGAATATTCAATGCTTCGAAGATAATAATTGCTAAACAAATCGAAACCAGTCATTTTGACTGCTACGTAATTCCAGTGTTAAAAGAAACCATAGTACAAGGGATTGATCCATGTACAATTAATCGTGACCACATTTGCTTCCACGATATCAGTGGATGGACGATAAGAGACACATTCGTGGTAATCCGTGTTACACGTGACGCGATTAGGAACGGAACGGGACGATCGAACCGATTGTCGCGACAAAAGGCGAGACGGTGAACCGTGCAGCGCGTGGAACCGATGGACCCGGACCACGATCGCCGGATTCGATAATAAAGGCCGCGGGGACGCGGCCAGAAAGCGGCTGCATAATTTGGCGCGTGGCCAAAGGCGACCAGTTGCTTCCAGTGCGTTGCACGTTTGACCCGTCTGCGCTCGGCGATTTGGCCGCGGCCGCCGCCGTTCACCCGTTCGCCAGAAATTTCAATCGACGACCGTCGATCGGACGGATTTAGAAACGGTTCTTGAACTTTCCTCTGCTCCTGTGCCCCTGTCGCGACGCGCAGCGCGGTCGATACATCGTCGCGATAAGATTGCGCGGCGTTCGCTCGACTAGGCTTCGGCTGTCGGAAATCGGGGGAACTGCGTTCGGTAATTGCGCTTTGAATTATTATCGTGTATCAGGCATTGGTACGGCGCATTTTGAACTATAGTGTGCTAACCGATATGGTAAATTTTGGATTGGCGCAGTGTAGCAATTAGTGTAGTTGACTTTGAGTTAACATGGTGTAGTAATCGGTGTAGCGGGTTTCGAGTTAGTAGCATAGTAATCAGTAATATTTGAATTAGGGTAGTGTAATTATTGGTACAGCAACTTGCGAGTCAGTACAGTATAATGATATCGATATATCATCACATACCGGCGTATCAAAGAATTAGAATTAGCATCAACAATGCGTTATATCAAATATTTAAAAAATACCCGACAATATACATACGAAATAAACAACCTCAAACCACTTCCTTTAACCCTTTGCGGACGAATGTCGGCACTTCGAGATGAAATTTTCATATTTGGAATGCTAAGTCAAAGGGGTGATTTAATTAAATAGCAAAAAGTCAGTACGTAGTTTCCTTTTTCAATTATCTAAGCAATCTTAACTCTTTGCAGTCCGTAGGTGCCCCTCAGTCGCCAACTGAGTTGACACAGCAAAATTATAGAGTTAGACATTTAATATTAAACTCTGTACAATGCATCGAAATGTAAAATATTAAAATAAAACAGCCTCTTCTTTAATTTACGTGCGATTCCTCGTTAAGTCAGTTTGAAAGAATGTCGTTGGTATTTGATTATAAAATGTTGAGTATTTCTAATGAGAAACTTCTGGAGTGCGAAGGGTTAATATATAAATCTAAATACATAATTTAGCTTCGTCTAAACGTTTCCTGTACTTCAAGCGATCTTCGTCCGCAAAGGGTTAAAAAACCGATCGCCCGATTAACTCAATTTGACGCAGATTGAATTTTATAAAAATTATTTGGTAAATGTTTCAATCGGTTTTCGTTGACCCAATTACACGAATATGAATCCTGATTGTCTATTTCTACATCCACAATTTCCAAAATCTAAATGAACGAATATCCCCAGGAACAATAGAATAAACTGTACAATAAATGCCCGTAAACCTAGTGTATTAAATATCAAAGTTTACAATTTCGCTGTGTCAAATCATTCGACGACTCAGAGGCGCCTCTGGAGTGCAAAGGGTTAGCTGATAGTAGCCCTGAAACTTAACAATGTTCCGCCAAGAGAATTCCACCCAAAAATACTCGGAATAATATTCAACGGCATGCTTCAAGGAACTTCGACGTTTGTTTGATGTTAGCCCGACGTTGCGATGGAACACGGACTCTCCCGTGTAAACGCGCGGAGTTAATCAACCTTACGAATTCCACGCGAGCTATCATTCCTGGAATCTCAACCCGTTCGAATCGTTCCGATACCGGGAAGGCGCCGCGCCGCGCCGCGCCGGTTTATTTGAACGCGATCTAATTCCGGTCAGCGGCGGGAGGCAACGCGGCCGCGTGTTCCGTGGCCGTTTATTGATCCGGCGTTATTCGAGGGAAACCGGGTCCGGCGCCGCTGGGCGGCGGAGACTTAACGGCGTTATTGCGGCCGGAGCCCGATACCCGTTGCCAACATTTCCGGAAGCGTCCGCGCGCGGCCAGACAATCGGTCGTTTACCTCGCCCAAGACGCCCAAACCTCTTGTCTATTTCGGTTGCGGGAGGTTCCGCGCGACGATCCTCCGCCGTTCGCGAAACCGCCGCCCGCGCGCGTGCGCGCGCCCACGGGATCACGATTCCTGGCCGGCGAGTCGCTTGTTCCACTGTGAAAACGTTGATTAAACCGGATCCACGGGTCGCCCCGCGGCTTATGCAGCCGCCGATTATTAATCCGAGGGATAACGCGATTACCGCTCGTCGTGCCACCATAATCGGCCCCCTGAACGCGCAACTCTGCCTCGCTAATTGCTACTCTTCCGGGAGACCGGTTAACACTTAGCCCTCGCGACGCTAAGGACGAATATCGCCGATGCGAGCTTGGAACCGGTCGCGACCGTAGTCGATTCGCGATGCGATTTTCCTGTCGGTGTTCGCAAGGATCGATGCTTCACAGGATGCTGGTATTGTTGGATTAGAAAACAAAATGATATTTTATTCGTAACAAAGGCTCTCGTGGTGTGCGCGTAAATCGATGGTCAGGTGTACCATTCATTACTACGAATAATATATTCCCAGCATTTCAATATTTCCTTGAAACTGTACATTCCCTTGTTGGATGACCAACCTAATGACGCATAGATAAGCGTCCTAGACCGCGTCCAAAATATCTTAGCATGTTTCTCACAAGTCCGAAATCCTAGATAAAATACACAAATGTCCAGGACTAGTCATCTATAACGAGTCATCAGGTGCCAAGGGTCACCGACATCCCCTCCTCAGCGAAAAGCTTAGTGTATAAGAATTGGAATCTCTAGGATAAATAGTTATTCGTTCAACCCTGGTTAACGGTCTGCCCGATATTGTCTCCGCGTCGTTCGATGTGTCATATCTGGAGAATACGTTGAAACGCCGAAATATAATTATTAACGAATCGGATTTCATTCACCCGGATCCCAACAGTATTATTATCGTGATTCATTAATCGTAGTAGTAATGTAAGAATTCGGAGATGCGAACGGTAATTTGTCGAGGTATTTGTTGTGTCGATGAGTCTGTTGGATTTTAGTTTGGACTCCATTTTCTGTTCTGTTGTGAATCTTGTGTTTTGTATGGTATTATCGTTGTAATTCTCGAAGGTCTTGTTTGAAAAACTGAAGCAGTGTATCCGAGAAGGTCCTGTTACCGCTCGAGAGATCGCGACGACTGCTTCCATCGAAGCGGCGCGTCCCTAAACGGCGGCGTTGGAAACGTACAAAGCGTAGAGGAGAAACGAAAAGCAAGCTCCTTACCTTTATCGTGTCCCGAAGTATGGCGATCTCTCGCGTGAGATGCTCGTTCTCATTGTACAAAACTTCCATTTGCTGCTGCATCTCGACGCTCGGCCCGCGCATCCTCATCCTCAGCTCCTCTTCCAGCTGGCGCACCATCATGCTTTGCTTCTGCAAAACGGGGAACCGTTTTCACGGCGTTAGGAAAGCGAAAACACTCTTGTCCGCGCGACGAACCAATTCGGCGTCCGTCGTCGGAGGTTCGTCGTTGCGTTCTCTAGACGTCGGATCGACGGGCGATTCCGACGGATTTCCGGGCGCGGCCGGGCTCGTTGCCCCCTTGGAAAATACACTTTTACGGGAATAATTGCACACTCGACGCTACGCGGAGCTACTTCAGCCATGAAACTGATAAGCGGATCGATAAAAGTGCCGACGCGACGCTGGCGAACGACCCTAGTCGAAGGGACCAGGCTTGTTTCTCTTGGTGCCGACTATCCGCGGGTCGATAATCTTATTCCCCGCAGGAGAACGCTAGAATGTCGTGTTATTCCTCCGAGGAACTACCCGTTAACTGCCGCCGCCAACAATAACGCAGGTTTCATTGCGTCGCGTGAAGCATAGCTCAGATTACAATGTTAATGTTCCTGCAATACTCGCAAATGGAGCCGCTGCGCGCTTTACTCCGCGGCTCGGGGCAAGAATAATGCAGTCTGATTAAAGGCGGCCGGGGAAGTTAACGGAAGCGACGCTAAACAAGGGTCGGCTTGTTCGATGTTTCAGCGGAAAAATGAAGATCGATAGTTGTATCGTTCGTGCGTATCTGACGCTATCATCGGTGTTAAGGGACGTTGGAAAACTGAGAAACTTTGACACCTTGATTTTATAGACGTAGTTTGTTCAATTAAATGTACCTTAAGTAGGTATGGATTTAAAAATTCATTTTCTCGGTGGAATATAAGACGAAGTGAATTTTCGTGCATCCATGAGATGTAAGGAGGTTGAGAGAGAAATTGTGGAGTAGAATCTTGATGTTTCATTTGACGGTTGTCGCAGAATCGCAGAATTTCTGTGAATTGTCGAGACAACTCGTGAAATTGATATTTTCAACAAGTCGACAGAGAATACCATAAGAATCGTCGAATGATTATTGCAATGGGTCGTTCCCAAAGACAAATTTTATTGGGAAAATTATTTTAATCGTATGAATGATTCGACGAATAATTCGATGGTTGTTGCAAAACTGCAAAATTTCTGTGAACTGTCGAGTCAACTGGTCACTGAAATTATTTTTAATAAATCGATACAGAATACCATAAGAATTGTTAAACAATTATTGCGATGGGTCGTTCCCAAAGACAAATTTTATTAGGAAAATTACTTTAATCGTATGATTGATCTGACGAATACCAACTCGATGGTTGTCGCAAAATTGCAAAATGTCTATAAATTGTCGAAACACCTCGTGAAATTGTTATTTTTAACAAATCGACATACAGAATACCATGAGAATCGTCAAACGATCATTGCAATGGGTCGTTCCCAAAGACAAATTTATTGTGAAAATCACTTTAACACGTTGACACCCATGCCCTTTATTAAACGGGGTCTTAAAAAGCGCCGGCATCAACGTGTTAATCGTACGATTGATTCGACGAATAACTGGATAGTTCTTGCAAAATTGCAAAATTTCCGTGAACCGTCGAGTCAACTGGTGAAATTGTTATTTTTAAGAGAATACCGTAAGAATCGTCAAACGATCGCTACAGCAGATCATCCCCGCAGACTTCATCGCAGGAGGACGAGTCTCGAGCAGACTAGAAACCGGTGTCTCTGCAAAGCGTGCCGCAAAGCGCGCCGTTCATAATCATCCGGTCGGCGGGGTCGCGGAGACACTTCGTCGGCCTCTGGCTTTGTAGAACTAACGTGGCATTTACACGCGTGCCCGCGGACCCTCGCGGCGTCGTCATTAACGATAGCTAACGAGCTGAACCGGAAGGAGACCGTTGGGCAAAATATCAGCGAGAGTACGGCGGAGCACGAGCGAAATTCAAGCGGACAGAGCAGAGCGGAATGAAAGAGTGCTGCGAACAATATCGCGCGGAGGGAAAAGGAAAGGACAGCGTACAAGGAACGGGGTTCGAATGAAAGATCCAGGGATGTAAATAACAGACCGAGTAGACTAAGATGGTACGAAGCGCGGGACGCGCCGAGGAAAAGGAAGATGATTGGAAAATGGGGTTGGTGGACGGTGAATTAAAGGAAAGAGGAAACTCTCCTCGCGAGTTGGGAGCAAAGTATCGGGTATGTGCGAAAGTTCCTGCCCATTCGGCTGGAGGATCTTTGGAAGTAAAGGAAATTATGGCTTCAAAGGAGTATTGCGGTGGTTAATTGAAGGGTGCGGCTGTGTGCTTGGTAAAGCACACAGTGAAGTATTTTCATATTATTTTTATGTTATTTTTATGTCATTTTTATATATTTTCTGAACGTTTAGAGTCTTTTGTTTAATGAGGAAGGACTTGTGTATGTACCGAATATTTTACTTTATTTGGTAATAATGTTATTCGGTGCTCATTTTATAGGCAAGCCTGATTAATATAAAATATACTTTTCAACGATTTTACTTGAATCCTCAAACTAGCAAGAATTCTTGTAGGTTTTCAATATTGTATTTTATGCGATACTAATGTTACTGAGTGCTTATCTTACAAGCACGTTCAATTAGTAGAAAATATACTTTTCTAGACTGTTAAACTCTTTTCTTTAAAGCAGCAACAACTTGTGCGTATGTTCAATATTTTATTCTATGCCAATATTACTGAATGCTCATCTTACAAACGTTCAATTATTATAAGGTATACTTTTCTAGAATGTTACTTGAACCCTTCTTAAAGCAGCAAGAACTTCTGCATATGTTCAATATTTTATTCTATGCCAATATTACCGAGTGCTTATCTTACAAACGATCAATTATTATAAAGTATACTTTTCTAGAATGTTACTTGAACCCTTCTTAAAGCAGCAAGAACTTTTGCAAGCGTCTAATATTATAAAAGACGCGCCGGTAAAAAGTCGGAGGCGATAGTAGAGCGAAACAGGAAGGAAATATCCGAGGCTGGAGCGTAAAGACGGTTGAGAAACGGCGGAGGAAAGCTTTCCCGAGTCCCGGGCTCCGAGAGGAACACGTACAGAGATCGAACTTCCGCTGAGATATTGACTTTGCCCGCCTGGGAAGGTTTTGTACGCTGCACCGCGGATACAACGCGCGTCCTGGAAAGATCCTTTCCAGCCACCGTAATCGTTTTTCACCCCGAAAACGGCCGATTCCCATCCCCGTTCCGACCGCAGCTCCGCGATTCGCCGCAATCTTATTCCACCCTGCGCCATTCTTCCGGGTAAACAGAACGAATTTATGCGGGGCCACTTCGCGCAAGCTAATACGATTTCACTCGAACAAAGGAACAAAGCGTTGTCGGTTAATGCTTGTTTCGAACGTCGTTAACCCTTTGGCCTATAGAATATATACAATATATAGAAATAAATATATAGAATATATAGAATATATAGAAATAAATATATAGAATATATTTCTCAACTCTGGTCGATACAGCTGCTTCGTCATTAACAATTTATTGGAAAAAGAGAAAAATTCTAAGCATATGCCTATATTTCCTTTTAAGTATAGCAGTTGATTACAGAGGAATAATATTCACTTTGATTTCGAATCAACTGAGAAACACACATATTTGTCGAATCATGTTGAAAATCTTCACGAGTCTAACTCGTTGTAGGTCAAGGGGTCCCTTTGCACTCAAGAGCTGACTCTCAGTCACCACTTGATTCGATACACAAAACTATCAAGTTGAATATTTAATATTTCAAATGGAACTTTGCATTGCTACGTGAAATATTGAAATAAAACTCCTTCGTTGCTTAATTTATCTATGAATTATCGTTAAATCAGTCTCAAACTATCGCCTATATCTCGTCAGAAAATGTTGAATATTTCGAAAAACTTTCGAGTGCAAAGGGTTAACATTGTAATAGAAATGACTAAGAAAGAAACGTCCAGCGTTGTTTCTCAATCAGAAATGCTAATAATGTAAATCTAACGATGAAAAAGCACTTTTCCCCATCACTTTCGACTGTAAATATTTAAACTCCCTCTGCGACAGTTATTAACCTTAAAAGATTTCCATTGTCGACAAATCTCAAATTCCTTTATTCTCCACTGTCCTACTATCTCAACATAACACTTTCAAATCATAGTAAATCATTTCAGCTCAACGTTACAATATTATTCGCCAGCCCGTTATCACAAAGTATAGATTCATTATTCACGTATAATATCCAATATTCCGAACTACAAAGTCCACTCTGCATTACACATTATTCTTCATTAAACCTGCATTTCGCAGATTAAACGACGTTGCATCATCGCTAAACGTTGCGACCATCGTTAAGAGTCCACGCATCGACGAAACGTTACCCCTCATCCCCTCGCCACTCCGGTGCGTGCAGAGATTACCATTATTATTATTTCAACAAGCGGCCCGTAAGCCATAGCGTTAACGAGGGTTTACGGCGCAACATGGCGTAGCGAGGCTGCGAGATTCGGTGGGGACGACCTTCCACCGGAAGCAGAGGCGTTCGATAACGCGGATCGACCTGATTTCGCGTGCGAGGAGGCAGCGTCGCCGACGGAACGCGCTCGGGGGGGTGTGCGGAGGTCGAACGGCTTCCCCACCACCGGACGCCCGACGTGACGTCAGTTACCCCCATAACGAAATCACCCCGCGAGAAGCCATGGCCGAATTCCCTTGTTCACCGCTAGCCTACTTCTCTCGCGCGGGGCCAATTGATGCCCTCGCGCGCGCCGAATCCCAGGATTTACGCGTGATCCTGCCATCCTCCCCCTTCGTACGAGGACCACGGAACCACAGGATCATACCGACAATTGCGGTGCGATTAGAAACAAGCTGGATCCGCCGCGGAGTTCGTAGTGTCGGTTGGAAATGAGGAATAGAGGTTTCATTCGGTTATTTTTATATATCGAAGAAGTATCGTATTCGTGGACTAGGTCCGTTTTATTATTATAAGCCAGATGTAATTCGGAACACAAGATTGTACTCACAACTGCGGTGCGATTAGAAACAAGCTGGATTCATCGT